GTATTTCCCCAGGGAAGCTCAATCTGGTTTAAGAGCCATGCTACTCTACCATGAAAAACAAAATTTCTGGAGACTTGCTCACCTGATATCGCTTAGGCCCTATAGCTGCCATCCAAATGCCCATGCTCACATCTTCACCCTGCAGATGCATTTTAAAAACTAACATTAGCCTTAGGAAATAATTACTTGGAAATGCACCAAGTAATTGAAATTCTGAATCAAAGTATCTTGTCCACCACATATATGCAGTTACCATTAAGTGAACAAGCAAAATATTAACTTTATTTATACTATGAACTATTGTTTCTTCTCCCTATCTGTTAAAAATATCTCCCACCATCCCTGAGGAAACTAGGTATTAAAATTGTGGATTTTACAGGATAGGAAACTAAGGCAAATATGGCTGCAGTGACTTTCAAGGAGAGAGAGAGTGCAAGGGTGGAGTTAGAATTTAAGAGCTCCCAATCGTATATCTCACTGTCAAAATCTATGAGTTAGCTAGAGCTAACAAGTTAATACCCGGATCAAGGGTGTACCCCTCCTCTGAGCCAGGCCCCCCTCCCCCCACAAAACATTAAGTACCTGATATGTCTTGAGTCTTCCAGAGTTGCTTGCCAACCACTGAACAATGTCTTTGGAGATAACATAACCAGACCCACAGGCAAACGCTGGGTATGCTGGACTGGGATACTCCAGTTCCTGCCACTTCCCCGTCCGATCAACTGCCCAATTTAGTCTGAAACTTAAGACCAAAATAATCATGCAAACTGAAGAAGACCGTTTACTTCAGTTTTATTCACTAAACTGCATGGATTATGGAAGCTTTTTATAAATAAGTCATAAAATTAAAGAAAAAGTGTAGAAAACTTTTCAGTTTTGATTCAGACAGTCCTATTTCACTATAAAGCTTAACCATGGTAAGCCTATCACTGAATTTTTAAATTAAATATTTCAAAAGAGGCAATTATGCCCGGTTTCTTTCCACTAACAAGATCTGTAAACACATTCACAGGAAAAAGCAAAGCTAGCCAACGTAGCCAAGCATCTGCACTATTACCACCAGCTTCAGTTACTGAAGCACAAATTCACTGACAAAGTGATGTGTTTAAAATCACCATTGTGCCCTGTCAAAGTCCCTACTCTATACACTCTTTTTTTGGTATTTTACTAGTGACAAACACAACCCGTACCTCCATAGGGCACGCAGTTACTGTAAATTGTTAAAACATTCTGGTATTTGGTCCACTGACAGCAAACAAAAGCAGCAATCAAAGTTTGGTATCCTTCACACATGGCTCAAGACCCCTTTCTCCCTCCTGGGGTCCCAGAGCTCAGGCTCAAGCTCAAGCCCAAACAGCTAGATTGCAATTTTACAGCCCCAAGCCCAAGCCCAAGCCAGCTGCTGGCGCTGAACTGTTGCAGGTGTACCTCAAAGCTAGGCAGGGCTCAAACCACCATGTTAAAAATCTGCAGGGTGACTATTGTGTGGTTTGAGCCAGGCTGCAACACCAATACAGCAATCTCTGGTAGGTTAGCTTGAGAAGAGCTAGCATGAGCCCATCTATCCGGGGTGGGAGGCTGGTTCCAACTGCAGTGTGACATACTGGAAGAGGCTCCCTTCATACTCTCTTCTCCTGTGGAAGGAGACAGCTCCTGTATCCCCTTCCGAGCATACCGAGCAGTAGAGGCTTTCTAACCCCATCAGCCTCCAGGCCTAACCAAGGAGGAGACCAGGACCAGGCTCTGGCCCCAAGCCCTGGACAGACTCAGCCGTCTGTGTTCTTTTTTGACCCACAAACTTCCACCATGGGACCACTTCCTCTCACAAGTCTGTCCTTCAAAATACAACTCCTCACAAGGCTTAATATGGCCCCAGTGTCTTCTCTTCCCTGCTCAGTCTTAAAAGATCAAAAAAATTTGCTGACCTTCCAAAGGATGTTTGGAGAAAATGTGCTATATAAGAATTATATATTCACAGCCGGCTGCCATAACTGTGTCAATGGGTCACACTTTTAGTATTTGGAAACAGGTCCTAACATGGCCTAGGTCAATCAAAAGCTAAGTGAGTTCTTTTAAGGCACACAGAGCCACAACACACTGGCATGTCAGTTGCAGAGTGCAGTAAATGCCTAGTGTGCTACAGCAGAAGGTGAAAACTGACATGGATTGGCAGAAGCGATCACAATACTCACCACACACTGGCTGTGTCTAATCACGGTTAGGGACCTCTATTTAACAAACACTGAGGCTATGCCTACACTCACAGCTTCTTGCATGAGTAATATGCAAATGAGGCTAAGCATGGAATATTGCCAGGCCTCATTTGCATACCTAATGAGCCACCATTTTTTTCAGAAGAGGCTCTTGCGCAAAAAGGAGCATCTACGCTGCCCCTTCTTGCGCAAGAAAAATCCTCTTGTGCAATGCCGTTCTTCCTGAAAAGAATAGGTGTAACGGCATTGCGCAAGAGGGGTTTTCTTGCACAAGAAGGGGCAGTGTAGACACTCCTCCTTGCGCAAGAGTCTCTTCTGAAAAAAATGGTGGCTTCATTAGGTATGCAAATGAGGCTCAGCAATATTCCACGCTTAGCCTCATTTGCATATTACTCTCGCAAGAAGCTGCGAGCGTAGACATAGCCTGACATTCCCCCAAAAGTACTCACCTTTCCTCAGACTAGTTACCAGGAAGCACTAACTGATAGTCCCCCAACAAACAGTTGTTCTTCAGAAATGTTGCTAACATCCGTAAGTATATTTAGATGGCAAACACCGTGCATTCTTTATCAGACAGCAGCACAGGGTGACAAGCAGCCAGTCCACAGAGGAGCTGGTTTTAAAACTGACTCCCATCAAGGACCAGCTCCCACCTGGCAGGGGTCTTCTCAGGAGTGAGGCCAAAGTGCTGACCTCACCCCCAGGCACTACCGAATAATTAATTAACCGATGAGAATTCTTGAGGTTACTCAACTATTCTATTAACCAATATTTAACATACCCAGTTATTACAATCTTGCCTTTGTCTTTACTGAATTTTAGCATATTCAGTTATTTTCCTACACAATGCTTGAAGAACACAACACCACTCATACTTGATTGCTGGTATAAAGAAATGAACTGTCTGAGCTACTCAAGAAAATCCACAGGCTGTTTTGGCTCTGACAAGAAGTGCCAAGGCACTGGGACGTAGCGAGGGTATGTCTGAGCTGCAATAGGGGATGTGACTGCAGCAGAGGCTGCCAGAGCTTTAACCTAACTAGGCTGCCTAAGAATAGCAATAAAGTTTCAGTGTGCAGGCTAGCACCCCAGGAAAGACTCTCACATTCCTGTAGAGCCAACACCACTGTCTCTTCATTGCTACTTTTAGCCATGCAAGAATGGATATAACAGCCCATGCTAAGAGTCGTGCCCCCAGCTGCACAGTCACCATAACCTTTACTCAGCCCCACCCTTCCAGTCCAGCAGGGCTCCTGCAAGGTGATGACATCCTCAAGACAGCAGCATCACTGAGAAGAGTTTACAAAAGCGCTGCCAAGGAATTAGCCTGAAATTATGTTTATTTCCACATCCCATCAACATGTCACGATTGTAATTTAAGGTATTAACAGCAGATGCTGTTAAACACCAGACAGTTTGTACTGGGTACTTCTGTAGAGGAGATACTAGGTAACCTTTATAAACAGAGAGAAGTACAGATTGAATCTCCGGTCCAGCACACTCTGGTCCAACATCATCCATGGTCCAGCATGATTTTAGTTAGCTGGATGTCTGCTTATGATGGGTGTGGCCAAGTTTGCAGCAGTCCTCAACCGGGCTGTGGCAGGGGTACGCTTCGCTTCCCCTCCACCATGGCTGTTGGGAGAGGTGTGTCCTGCCCCACCTCTCAGCCAACCAGGGCAGGGGCAGGGTCTCCTCCTAGATGCAGAAGAGCAGTTTGCTGCATAGCCAAAGGGCCACACGAAGCCTGGCATGGTAGCCTTAGAGCCACTGCTATCTGGGCAGCAATGCTCAGGTGGTGGCTGGGAGGCAGTGTAAGGCTAGGTAAGGGGGGTGGAGCTAGTGCTGGGGGAGTTCTGGAGGTGAGGTGCTCAGAGGCAGGGGGCTGGTATGGGGGGGGGCTCTGGCAGCAAAGCTAACTGTGGAAGGCTCAGGAGGCAGGGCTAGTACTGGGGAGCGCTAAGGGGTGGGGTTTCTAAGAGGCATGGGGCAGGCACTGGGGGGTGTTGCAGAGTGGGGCTGACACTGGTGGGTTCTGAGGGCAGGAGGCTTGCACTGATTGGGAGGTTGGATGCAAGGGACTCTGGGGTCAGTGGCTGGTGCTGGGTGGTAGTGGGGGGATCTAAGAGTTAGGGCTGGCACTGGGGAGCTCAAGGACCCAGGGTGTACCTCAGCCCCAACCCCCAGAGCGGCCACGAACAGCTGGCTTCAACTATGGCAGCCACTTGCCATGTGGCGACTGCCAGAGCTGAAGCCGGCTATTCACAGCGAATCGGGGGGCTGGGGCTTTTGGCGGACCGGTAACATTTTATTTGCAGATTTGTTATTTACACAATATGCAAATAAAACTTTATTGGTCCACCAAAAGTTTGTGAATGGGTTTGCCGGTCGCTGTTTAAAAAAGGTTGAGAACCACTGCCATAAAGTTTGTTTACAGCCACCAGTCCTGGCTCAGTGTTCTGTGCTGTTATTTAGCTCTAATTTACCCCTAAAGTCTTCTAAGAGCCCAGCAAGCAGTGGGGGTAATGCTGCTAGGCAGTACTGACCTCCTGTAGCTCAGCAAATTCTCTGGTTTGGCACCGGTCAGGTCCTGAGGGTGCTGGACTAGAGAGGTTCAACCTGTAGTGGGTTTTAACCTGAAATAATTATTTTTTTTGCCTGTTTCAAGTCTGCTTTACTGAATGGCATCTTTTAAGTACCCAACTTTAAATACTTCCCTCCATTTCAGAGGCCTCCATTAAAGCTCATTCAATTCATATTTTTCATTCTATTGAGCAGTGGGCCTGGCTCTACAGTTTTGGTCCTGGCAGTTTTGTGTCTCATCACAGGAAAATCATGGCTGAAAGGAGTAAGAACTATGGCGGAGTGGTGGCTCAATCTCTTGAAATCATCAGATCAAGATTGTACGCCTTTTTGGAAGATGTTTTAGTCAGACACCACTTCTCGGCCTCAAAACAGGGGTAACCGACAGTCTTTCAACAGTCAGTTTGAGTTGGGAGTAAACAGCAGCCAGAATCTCAATGAGTTCATACAATGTGGTACTTTGCAAAGAGTCCATGTGAGGTTTTGAGCTGGTTAGATACCATGACATGAAGGGAAGGACAGGACTTGCACGCTCTTTCCTTCCGTAAGTTAGACTGTCCTGGGTAGGCCTGCTAATTATCATCATCAACAAATCTCTGCAGCCTCCTGTTTTTGCTTTTAATCTGAATCATGCCAAAGGGCCAATTTCTGAACGTTCACCCATTTTTACACCCTTGACTCCAAGCAGTTCTCTTCAAGTTGTAAAAGAAGAGTGTCAAAATTAAGCTCACAGTTCAAAAACTCATATGATCGAAGCTACCACCGTTGACTGCGGACACCCCCACTGAAGCCAAGGAGGTTATGCTGCAGGTGAATGTGGTCCTGTGTTTGCAGTTCTTAATAGGGGGGCAGCATAGTTTTCATTACAAGCAAGGCCCTGCAACATGAATGTAAAATTTGGGCCTAGATCCCTGGTTTCTATCGTTTGCTACAGCTGTCTTGGAACATTCTGCAGTAGCAAAAGCATTTTTAAATGGTGTTTTTAAACCATTTTAATTAAAATCTGAGAATGTGTGTAATACAACCACATACCATATTTCATAGATTAAAGCCAGATGAGACCACATGCGATCATCTAGTCTGACTTCCTGAACAACACAGGCTATAGATTTTACCCAACAATTGGCTGCGTTATGTCTGCAACTCCTGGTTGAGCTACAGCCTGAGGAAGACAACCAATCTTGGTTTAAGATTTTGAAGGGATGTAGAATTCTCCATATGTGTTGGTAAACAACTGCCAGGATTAAGTATACTCACGGTTAAAAAAAATATATATATATTTTACAATAGTAAAATCTGTTTTCAGTGTGTCACAGATTATTTTACATTGACAATGCCTAGCTGCCTTGTAAAACTATCAGTGGGGGGAAGCTGACATTTTAGCTTGTGGGCAGGGGACAGTTGGGATTTCTTGGCAACTAGAATGATGTGGTAAGTGGTTTGGATAAGCACATGAGCTGGATATTTCTGGTAACATGATCAGTAATGAAATACATAATACTGACTTTTAGCACATGTAAGCTGCAGAATACAGGGGGTACCAGACAAATAAAGCCAATTTTATCCCCTTATACACAACCCAGATTCCAAAAAATCTACCGAAAAAGTCATACTGGCCAGAAAATTCAAAACTCTTCTATGTTGGTACATGTTTGCAGTTTTAAACTTAACTATTTCTGTACAGAAATAAGGTGATTTCCTACCACTTCCCATATATAAAAGAGAAACGCTTTGTGCCATCCAAAGCATGCAATAGACCAGTATCAGTTCTAGCGCTTGTTTAGGACACATTCTAGAACAGTTTTCAGGTGGTTTCTGCAACTCGGGGTCCAGATCTCCTTTGACTGAAGTTATGGAATTTGCTAGTGACTTGATGTGGGCAGAAGGGGGGACTCCATAAGGAGACTGTTGAACGGAATTTCACAGCAGTAAAACATTCCATAGACATATGGAGAAAATGGAAAGATCCATGAAAAACCAGTAACCAGATGAATTTGAGACTCACTTGCCCCACCAGATATTTGGCCTGTCCAGTTTTTCATTCATTATCCTGTTGAACACAGCTTCCAAATTTATGTAACAGTCATCATCAGTCTTCAGCAATAAATCAAAGTTAGCTGATTCTACCGTCCTGTAGCCAAAACAAATAAAGAGATGATTTACTAGGAGATAATTTTAAAATACATTACAACTCTGCAACATAACATGTATACCACAAACAGCAAAAGGACCCATTTGAAAGCCATTTGCTCTCCTTTTAAATGTTTTTCCTACAGACTGCTGGCAAGGGCTAAGTACTAGTTCTAAAGAAGAAACAGCTATTGTGTGATCGTCACGGGTTTGTACAAAGTATGAAAGGAACTTGAGGTAGGATTTCTGCTATCCAGTACAGCTGAAGGGTTTCATTTACAATGAATCTGTCTGAAACAGTTACTGACCTCAAAAGGATATGAACTCCTGCTGAGGACTACATCACGGCTGTTAATACAAGGGGTTGTATAAAAGGCTAGAACTCCAGTTAACCTTCTGTATGAGAACAGTTGGTTCAAGGGCAGTGCAAATGGAAAAAGTTTACAAAAAATGATGTGCAGGAATAAGATGGTGCTTGCCCTCTCTAAAGCACTTTCCAAATATTAAATCGGTAATCCTCAATGTTGCTGTGAGTTACAGATATTATTTTACAAATTGAGAAACTGACTGTAAGGAGACTCACAGAATTAGAGTGAAATGATTCTGTGGTTTATCCAGAAAGACAGGCTATGTTTTGAAGGCGATTCCTATATATTCACCTCCCTAAGGGGCAAACTATTTACCTTAAATCCTTTATTACTGAAAAAGAAACGATTTTCTGTTAATGGGCAACCAGTCACCGTAGAGAGTTAGATGACTTGAACTTTACCTCCCCTTTTAACAATCAGAAGTGTTCTACAGTTTCTCATTTGTATATTATACACTACTCCGCACATTCTTTTGGTGGATTAAAAAAAACCCCAACACCACTGGTAGTATTTAAAGTAGATATTTAACAAGGGAAGAATCAGCCAAAGTTACGCATTAGTAATTCCAGTGACTTCAATAGTTACTCTTTATAGACAAGAGTGTGAACAAAGACTTAAGCCCACTGTCATTACTGATGTATGAGCATGTATTTTGGAATATGTATGCATAACTGTAGGAGAATGCTGCACATATCTAAACATATTTCCTAGATTATTTGTATGCAAGAGGTGCTATAAAATGTTTGAGCTTTTCAGTTAAATCTTCTCCAGTTAATTATCAATGCTGTTTTTTAAAGTTCCGATGACTCCGCTCTGATTGTATTACTCATTAAGGCCTTGGTCCTACAATGGGATTATTCATTCATGTGTGTAAAGTGAAGCCCATAGCTTTGGGGATCAAAGGTGAGTTTTTTGGGGGGATTGTTGTTTACACATCATAAATACCTATAGATATGGTAAATTGAGCTGACAGCTGGAACTATGCAATGTTCAAAATACTCCGGTATCTATTTTGGATCACTGCTCCTATTCACATCTTCGAATACATTTAGGTTGTGCAAATGTAATGAAACTAAACAGAATTTAAAATTTTAAAAAATTCTAATTTTTAAAATAAAAGGATGTGTTTTTTCAGCTTTTATGGGTAATGTCTCCGAGAAACTGAAATCTTCAAAGTACTTGTTATAGGTATTATCAATTCCTTCTTCAATTCATGTTCTGGCATGATGCTTCAGGCACTGCTTAGACCATATTTTCACGCAAAAGACAGAGGGCTCTGGCAGAGGCAGGCAGTTCTCGGGCAATTGTTGTCATGACAAAAGGTGCTCAAAGATATTTGGAAGGCCTTTCTGGTCTGAGTAGGGATGTTAAATTGCAACTGACTGATTGAATAGTTGATGCATTTTGCATCGACTATTAGACTAGTCGATAAGGTGCCTCCGTCTTTGAAGTGTAGAAACAGCCCTAGGGCTGTTGCTACAATTTAAAGGCAAAAGCGCCATGTGGAGCCCAGGATCAACTGGGGACTCCCCCGCTGATTCTGGGCTCCATGCGGCGCTGACGCTTTGAAACGCCGCATGCAGCCTGGGGACACTCCAGCTCTGGCCCAACTCCACGCTATGCTGCCACTTTGAAGTACCCCCTTCCTCTTTCCCACTCCCCTTGCTGCCTCTTTCTGATAGAGGGGGTGAGGGGGAAGCAATTAGTCGACAGCCTGTCGACTATCTCATAAGCATTTGTTTATGAGATAGTTGACTAGCCCTTCACAACCCTAGTGGGGAGCCTCTCTAGGGACCAGACCTCATGAGGCATTCAGCATTTAATGCTAAAATTTACCTTGTGACAGAAACTGAGAGCACTCAGGATCTGACAGGATTGATCCTGATCCAAGGCCCACCAAAGTCACTGCCTGTCTTTCTGATGACTTCAATGGATTTGGGATTGGCCTTTTGTTTGTAACCAAGCTGACAGACAGCCTTTACCATTTAAATGGCTGGTATTCAGACTGGTTTGTGATTTCGTGCCATGAGCAAACATCCCAGGTAAGGCTGTGGACATGATTGAACCCTCACTTGCACAGTTAGATTTGTGGAGTAGAATTCTGTTTTAAAAGTGTTTAGGGTGGGGGAGGGAAGAAATTCAGTCAGTAAAGTTCAATCCTAAAACCTGAACCCTCACTTTTAATCACCAGAAAAATACAATTTTGTCCCTTTTAACATGAAAACCAAACAAAAACAATGAAGAGAGTAAATTTCCAGGTACACTGTATGTTTTCAGAATAAAGCATGTCCAGGACTATCTGGCATCAGAAATCCCTGATAAAAATGCTTTTTTCCAACCTACCATCGGTAGAAGTTCAGCAGTTTGGCTGGAACATTTCTGTAGGTATCCACAATGTCTACAAAAACAATATCATCATAGGCACTGCTTTCTTCCTGCAGCAATGCATCCTCGTCTTCAAGGTTTTTTAAGTGGTTTACAAACCTCTCAGGACGAGTATGTAGGCTTTGCAAAAGAGCATCACCTTCTGAAGGGGAGGGAGGAGAAATTACACATAATCAAAACTACATATTCACAGTCTCCATGCAATACGCTACATACAGCAGTGTATATTTCTCCTGTTCTAGAAGCAGCATATTTACATGTTTATTTTGTCAGTAAGTGTCCAGTTAAAATCTTAATTTAGGAAATTCTGCAATCAATTAAAAAAAAAAAAGCTTTGGGAGGGTAGGTCACATATACACTTAGGGTCCTACCATATTCATGGGCCATTGTGGTCAATTTCACAGAGGATTTTTTTAAATAATAAATTTCATGTTTTCAGCTATTTAAATCTGCAATTTCATGTTATCATAGGGATGCTGGCCAAAACCAAATTGTTGGGGTGGGGCAGATTTGCAAGGTTATTGTGTGAATGGGGGAGGGTGAGAGTTACGGTACTGCTGCCTTTGGCACTCCTGCAAGCAGCAGTGTAGTTATCAGGGCCAGGTAGCTGGAAAATGGTGTCTGCTGGCCAGGAACCCAGCCAACGGCAACAGCGCAGAAGGAAGAATGCCCTGGAATGGTATTGCCGCCCTAACTTCCCTGCTGCTGCCTGCAGAGTGGAGACCTCAGTCACCAGCTATCACTCTCCAGATGTCCAGCTTTGAAGGCAGCAGTGCAGAAGTAATGGTAGCATGGTATGGTATTGCCACACATAGTTCCACACTGCTGGTGGTGGAGTGCTTCCTTCAGAACTGGGCCCCCGTCAACAGCTGCTGCTCTCCAGCCAGCCAGGCACTGCAGAAGTAAGGATAGCAATTCTGCAACTCCCCTAAAATAACATTGACACACCTGCCCCAGCAACTCCCTTTTGGGTCAAGACAATTGGAGAAACACTGGACTCCCCCATGAAATCTACATAGTATAAGGCAGGGGTCGGCAACTTTTCGGAAGTGGCATACCAAGATTTAACTTATTCACGTCTATTTATGGATCTGCGTGCTGGGGGACGTGGGGACAGGGGCAAGCTGGGTATGGTGACCGTATTTTTTGAACCAGCTGCAGCTATGGAGAACGGTTTAATTTAAATTATGGAACAGATTAAGCGTTTTAACGTTCTCATGTCAGTTTATCAAACTTAATTTTAAATAAAAAAATATTAATTTCTGTCAAACACAAAAGATTTCAATATTTTCTTTATTTACAGTGGGGTGGGGAGAGAGTATTAACCCCTTAGTTCCTGGGAGCTGCACACCTAGACTGGGCAGGGGCAGCCCTAGGGACGTGGAGCCCAGTGCAGGGTCATGCCGCCTGCTCTGCTTGCCTCTCCTCCCCACCCGCCCACTTCCCCTTCCAGCAAGAAGCCAGAGCTGGTTCTCCAGCCTGCAGCTGTGCAGCAACCGCAAGGCTCCAGTCGTTGCTGGGTGGAGAGGGGGGGCTTCTGCAGTGCGTGCCATTGAAAATCGGCTCTCGTGCCACGTATGGCATGCATGCCGTAGATTGCCGACCCTTGGTATAAGGTAAAAGCACACAAAAGGAGGCAGGGGGGAAGGACACGATTTCACAGTCCGTGATGAACGCATTTTTCATATTTGTGAATTTCGTAGAGCCCTATAGAATGTCCCAATAAAAAAGAAACAGAATTCTTTACTGAAAGAATTCAAGCCTTAAGAAAGTTTTATACAAATAATTATCTGGCACTCTACTCTCTATTGCATAAGACGCCCAGGAGGGCTGCCCGAGTTCATTATCAATTTATCCTAAGCACATTTACTGTAGCATAGAAAGAGGCTGAAAACCAGGTTCTCACATACTGCTCTGATAAAGTTCAGCACAACCTATTTTCATGGTACAGTCGTGCTGGCCTGTCCCCAGGTACCACACTGCAAGCCAGTTTTGCATAAGCATATTCTGGGAAAATCAGGGCAGGCATTCTGTACTACCTGAAATGTTGAGGCTAGGGGGAGAAGAGGGAGGCAGGTTTTAAATATGATTTCAATGCACTTTAAGATCCTTCTGCACAGAAATAAGGGAGATGACACTGCTCAATCATTTGCCAGTCCTATTTAATCAGCCTCTTGTAGTGAAGCTTTAATTTCCTGACAATTTTTTATAGACTGAAAGTGGTTTGTTTGCCCCCAAACCACATTTTAAAACAAAAATTAGTTATTTTACTTAAGAAAAATACATTTCTGCTTTTCCATATCCCTGGGCAGATAAACAAGCCTAATTTTTGAGGAGTGTTAATACGAAGCAAGCTCATTTTTTTCCATTATAGCAGCTGCTCTGTAGTGCCAGTTTAGATGCCAGCTTCATTGCTAAGTGGCCCAGAGACCAGGCAGAGTTTGAAAGGGCTCTCTGAGGCTTACACACAACCTGCTGAAATAGGTGCAAAGGCAACAGCATTGATTGGAAAAGCTAGCCACCACGTTAGCTTTAAAGCCACTATTTACCAACAGTTACTCCACAGTGGTACCAGAGACACTGCAGTTATTTCCCATTCTCAATTTAGGGGAAAAGTGGCAACTGTTAACACAAGTTGACTTTTTAAAGGCACCCAGTGTAGAACTTTTTTCTTTAGCTTTGTCTTTTGACAACAAGAATTGAGGACAGGATCAGGGAAATCCATTTGGATAGAAAGGGAAAAGATGATTATGTTAATAAAAAGACAGCAAGAGATAAAATTGGCTTCGCTAGGCGCTAAGGAGCGCCTCGAAAAAGATCTCAGCATGTCACCAAAATTGTATTTAGAAGATGACTTTTATGGAAGAGGAATAAACCGATTATAATAAAAGTAGATCTTAGTCAAATTAATATTAGACACAACTTGATCATTTCAGAGTTGTCGTTTAAATGTTCTATTGTATAAGGACAGAGAAGTGCTCCACTACATTTTTGCAGTCTTACCTTGAATAGTGTAAATAAAGCCTCCTGCTATTCCTTCCACACCTTCTGTGAATTCATGTGGCCATGAACCTTCCCCTGTCTGTTAGAGATTGATTAACAGCATTTCAAGAAGAGAAATGGGTCAGTAGTGAAAGCTGAGCTAACTCCTTCTCAATACAAAACTTTGATGTAACAAAAATAAAACTATGTACAGTCTGCTTTTTAGATATCTGCATATGCAAAAGAGTAAAGCTTTAATTATAATTGGAGAGTGAGATTGTCAAAAATGCCTAAGGGATTTAGGTGCTCTGTTGCCATTAAAACAGGCATCTTTAGAAACAGCATTAATGTCTGTGTTCTATTCTGTTCACAGATCCTGCTGGAAAGCTAGATTTTTAAATTAAGAAGAAAGACAAACTTTAAATGGCTAAAATATAATGACTCGGCATGCCGTTTGTCAATCAGCAGAAAGTGGTGACAAGGAAAGAGAATTAATTCCTGTAGGGCTGCAATAACTGGGGAAGAACGCACTGCTGGCAAAAATGGGCTCAAGAGCATAGCGTCTGATTAGCTGCAGTGAATCTGACCCAATATCTTTGAACGACACAAAAGGGGAGGGTAAACTTTATTCCCATGAAGAGTGGAAAACAGGACTTGAATTCAGTCAGTAGCACCATTTTCTTAGTTCACCAAAAGGCTGTAACCCAAGGTTGAAGTTGAAAATTAAACCAACACGGGAAGATAGAGGTCATCTGACTGGACAGTTACAGAGAAACTGAAGGGAGCACAGGGAAACGGGACAGAAAAAGATCTGAAGCTAAAGATTTACCACAAAATTACTTATGATTGGAACGTGAGTAGTGTGAAGAGATGACACACCGTAGAGACTCTGAGGACTCCTCCTCCATCATTAATCATCACTTTGTGCAGATTCCTAGAAACAAGGCCTTGAAGATCCTGGCTTTCCCACACAATAGTCCCTTCAAAACTCTGTTAAGAAAGCAAAGTACAATTCACTATTAGCAGGACTTTAAAATATAAAAATAAATACAAACACACGCGCATACACATCCCTACATAATGTGCAATATTGCAGAAACTGTAGATCACAATATTTGGTTTACACTGTAATTTGACAGCCACTCTCATCCCCAGGCAGCCAAGAGTAGGAAAAAAAAATCAAATAATGGACTTTACTACCGCAAATAATTAAGTCCAATATTACTTTCCGGCAATTTTCCATGGCTTGTCCACATTGTAACTACAGTTTTACTGACAATCATCCTAGAATTAAAATAGGGCCTTACATACACCCACACTCACAAAAACTTAGAAGATGGAATAAAAAATGGTAAGCTTTACAGAACTGATGGTAAGCTTTACAGAACTGATTGATATTCACACACTGTATATGTTTTTACTTAGATTTCACTGCAATAAAATCAGTAATGGCTAAAGGAATGCACCTATGAAACAACCAGACAGTTGTAAAGGTTAGACTTCCCTGGTCTGGCACCCTGGGAACCTGACTGGTCCTGAAGGAGTTTCCTATGCTAGACCAGGGGAGGTTGGCCCCTCTGCAAGGTTCCCCTGCTCCAGGGCCACTGGGCTCCCAGCTCTTCGGCCAGTCCTGGGGCTGCTGGAGCTCCGCAGACAGCTCTAGGGCCACCACAGGGCGCCAGGACTTTGCTGCCCCGAGCTGTGGTTCTCTGCTCCAGGGGCTCTCTGCTCCAGCAACATCCATGGTCCTCCTGGACCACAGATGATGTCAGACCAGAGAGTCCCCAGACCATAGAGGTTCAACCTGTAATTATAAATAACTTCTCTCTCTGCATCAGGAATGATATTAAAACTTTAAACTAGAAGTCTAGATTAAAAAGTTTTTTCCTTTTTATTTAAAAACTTTAAAATTGTATTTAACTGAGAAGATTTTTAAACATTTAACTATAAAAGCATATATTACAAACAGAATAGATTAAAATGATTAGAAAATCAATGCCAAGACTTGAGATTAGGGACCTCTGTTGATCCTGCAACCATCACTGGTATCACCAATACTAAAAGGAAACAGGGAATTTCCTTTCTTCCCTTGCTATAGGCGTCATGAATTATATAGAAGAAGAATCAGAGAACCCTGGCCTCAGTCCTTGGAATATAAGTAAACTACTGCTCTTCTTTTCCTTTTTAAACTGTATAACACTTTAAAAAAAAAACCTCTAAGAGCCTACATCACTAAGAGGCTACATGTATAATTTAATTTTTAAAAAGAAGTTCAGGCCACCTTTAAACTGATCTGCTAAATGCTGCATATGAGAGATACTGCATGGCTAATATTACTATGTTCTGCTGAAAACCTATAAAATGCTTAGGAAGAGACAGAGGGGATGCAGTATCAAAATAAAAGTTTAAGTAGTAATTTAAAGTTCTGTAATTTGTTTAAAGTAACCCTGCTTTCGTCAAGGGATTACACACTAAATATATTAACATTAGTTTCATGAATGTTAAACCGAAGCAAACGATTCTGTTTAAAGCAATTGGCATAACTTTAAATCAATTCCTCTGCTTCTAAAGCAAAAAATGTTGAGACGCTGTAATAACAGACGTAGCTATTCGAGCCCAGAAACACCTCAGCTTGTTTTAAACTGGTTTACAAAGGCAGACAGATTCCTCAATGTTCAGAACTGTTTGCTAAATTTCTGCTACCCAATGCCTCAGACCCCACCCACTCTTTGGTCTCCAGTCATCTCTTCTTTGACCTTTACCCAACTCCCTTGCTTGCATTCACCTCTTCTCCGGATTGTCTCCATTTACTAATGGATCCAAAATAGTCCAGGTTACTTTCTTATCACTTCCTCAAGCTCTTAAACATCCTCCACCAATAGGTCTTTTATGCTCATAACATGCTTGATATTCAGTAACAGCCACATGCTTGAAATAATCTTGTCTCCTCTAATTGCTTCTCATTTATTTTACATTTGAACAATGGACCAAATCAGTGCTCATGCTGGTCTGACCTTCGTGCTTAATACTACCACTTTGCTACGTCTAATTATTTGTCATTCTAATATGACAAATGGGCCATTACCAAGTTTTTCGTGAATGCCAATGGCAGGATCCCCTATCATCCTAGGCTTTGAAACCTGGATAGCAGCACTTACCTAGCATCTGTATATACAAGGTTTTCTGATAATTGCCTTTTCCTCCCTAACAATTTTTGACCAACTGCTTGCCCTAACGGTGCATTTCCCTTCATCTTCCCTCACTCTTACAGGGATGAGCCACAAAACCAAAAACTAGCACTTTAGTTGAAAGATGGTTTAAGTTCTTTGCAAAAAGCAACGAGAAATTCTGTAGCACCTTAGAGACGTGCGGCTATGTCTACACTGCACTTCTCTTGCACAAAAGCCTATGCAAATGAAGCACGGATCAGCATATTGCCACGCTTTGTTTGCATAGTTAATTAGGGGCCGTTTTTGCACAAAAAACCCTAATCTTTTTCAGGAAGAATGGCTCTTGTGCAAGAAGGGCTTTTTGCACAAAAAGGAGCCATCTACAATCCAATATTTCTTAACGTGAAGAAATAGGGAAAGGTATCATCTCATACCAATCTTGTGGCACTTAAACACTTCACTACAAACAGATTGTCAATATATGTGCATTGATCTCTTTTGTGTGATCTTGAATGCTTCAGCATCTTAAATATCACAAAGAGTATGTGACAAAGCATGAGCCCCATCAATCCAAATGAGAAATGTCATGCCATCCTGGAGATATACAATGTCCATAACATAGTAAAAATATCAATAAAAAGCACTTGCAGTTTGTCTCTCTTCTCTAAACAACGCTCCAAAACATTTTTTCAACAAGAATGCAAAAAAGTACTGGTAGAACACTGTCAAAGTGGGAGGATGTAACTAGGTGGAGTCTTGCAGGGGTGTGTCATGTGTCCACAACTATTCAATATTTCATTAATGCAATTAAGGACCGGGGAATGCGTTTATAAAATTTGCAGGTAATGCCAAGCTGGGACAGGTTACGAGCACTTTGGAAGACAAAATTAGACTGCAAAAATATCTTGACAAATTGAAGAACTGATGTGAATTCAACAAGATTAAATTAAATAAAGATGAGTACAAAGTACTTTACTTAGGAAAGAAAAAAAATCAAATGCACAACTACAACTGAATAAGCAGCAGGACTGCTGAAAAGGACATGCAGATTATAATGTATCACAAATTGAATATGAGCTAACCATAGCATCTCTCATTCTAGGGTGTATTAACAGGAATGTCAGATGTTAAGACACGGGAGGTGACTTTCCTGAGCTAACTGGCTTTGGTGAGGCCTCAGGCTGCAGAATGGTGTCCAATTCTGGACACTACACTCTAACAAAGATGTGGATAAACTGGAGAGAGCCCAGACGAGAGTGAGGAAAGTTAGAAAAGATTTTTTAAAATCTGATTTACGAGGAAGGGATAGAAAAAACTTGACATGTTTAGCCTTGAGCAAAGACCACTCAAAGGGTACATGATAAATCTTCAAATATATCAAGGGCTTTTATAAAGACGATTGTGATCAATTGGCCTCCACACCCACTGAAGATAGGATAAGTAATAATGGGCTTAATCTACAGGAAGGGAGATTTAGATTCTTTCAGTGCTATACATCTATGAATTTATGTCATAGCTTGAATATGCATTAGTATTTTTGTTGTACCAAATAAAAGCAAGCAGGATCTTATGAGGGGGATAAGGCAAAAAGCCACATTTATTGTAAAGATAATAATAAAAAAGAAAGAAAAGATAGAAGCAAACAACGTTGTTTAACTACTTATTCCTATCACTACTTAACCCTTATACACTTGTGTATATATATATATATATATATATAACCATTCATTCATACATCCATTCATTCAAGTTCTGTGTATAGTTACCAGCCTGGAAGTTGCTTGTGACAGAATACTGGCCAGGTATTCTGTACACAAGTGATGGTAGTGGGGAGCGAAGTCCTGATCAGGTGCACATCTGAAGCTCCTGGTAGGCTGGCAGCAGAACCTTGGACTCTGATTCCATAGTTTTTTAGTCCAGTTCTTATAGGAATTTCTTCCTATGCCAGTCTATGGAAATTGCTGTATCATGCTGATGTCTCCAGGGTGGCTGCCAGGTGCTCATCAGTGATCTCATCGGGTGGACCTCCAGTTTCTCCACTTGACACCTTTTGGTTGCACTGGCACCTGACGCCTTCTTCAGCCCTTTGTTGCTGTATTCTCAGGCTGGCACCTCTCAGAACCATTCATTTACATACATTCTCTAATTAATGTTTCCCATACAGTATTTTGTATAATAATAAAAGTTGTAGTTACAAAAGTTTCTGGGTGGTATTGCTTAAAACATTCTCTGAGTGCTGAGTAAAGTTACAATGTTTTAAAAAGAACAGGTATCAATTATGTAACAATGCCCTTAGTCAATTACAGGGCTTGGCTCCTGTAGCAGAGTTAGTGGCTTGACAATGCATTGTTACAATGTGTCTCTGCAATGTCAATTTCAAGCAGCCCCTTGCACAAGCTTGAGCATGCCCTGGAGCACAGAGGGCGGGGGAGGGGGGGTTGTTTCTGGCTACATAGGATTATATTCTTAACAGTTAGGATTATATTTTTAACAGTTCTAAGTTACATTACCTAATACATTATATTCTAAAGGGGCAATAATAATAATAAATCTAAACATTTAACAATCTTAACTAATAATAATAATAAGAATTAATAATAAATCTAAACACTAAGTTGTGGGGAACAAATTATGGGGAGTCACTTCCATTTGGGGGAATCATTTTCAATACATTAATATGTTATCCCCACATTTTGAGAGAGGAAAAAATTACAAGGGCCTGGGAGTTTACTATATTGGGAAAAAAAAAACCAAAGATTTACAGGAATAACATTCAGGTTGTGCAGAAATCCATCCCATCCCACTGTACTGTTGGACAAAATATATTCTAAAAATTAAAAACACACAGCATCTGCTGTGCATTACTTTAAAATAAATGTCTTACCCCTGAAGAAATTTAAGCAGCATTAAATTACATAAGCAAACCTCTTGCAGTATTTTGTGTATTTGACAAGCCAGACCACTGAAATGCTACTCTCTGGTAAGCTGTTTAAGGAGCTAAACCAGGGGTTCTCATACTTTTTTTTTTTTTTTTGCTGGGGCCCCCTTTGAAAATATTTCAGGCTGTGATGATCCCCCTCAACAAGTGATAACCACATACCCCACACTCTTACTTCTGTGCTGCTATTGGTAGCAGTGCCATCTTCAGAGTTGGGTACTTGGTCAGCAGCTGCCACTCTCATGTCTCCCCTACAATAATCTTACAACTCCCTTTTGGATCAGGATCCCCAGCTGGAGAAACGCTGAAATAAACTAACCAGGTTACTACAGGGGATTGAAGGTCAAATTGATTCCTGTAGTAACTCATGTGAAATCAGTGGAATGACATCATGGACTAAACTGGCCCTGAATACCTAACTTACTCAGTCAATTCATTTCTTCTCATTTTACTATATTTCTTCCATGACATAAGACATAGATTTCTGACACTGGTTTACTTAAGACACAGTTATCAGAGCACTGGTTTAACATCATAAGAGAACAAGTTTTAATATAAGAAAGCAAACTTTTAAAATTATATCTGAACTATTTAGAAATTAGGAACTCACACTGAAACAGCTCCTCAGATGGGAGCTTCCACAATATTCCCACTTGAAGTCTATAGAAGTTTTACTTGAGTAAGGACTGTAGGATTAAGCCCTCACTGTAGTAATGTTAACTATTTTCTTTCCACACTTTTTTTTACTATGTTTAACCACTTCCTTCCAATATAACCTGAAAAACACAGTTTGTTACCATATTCCTTCAGAACAACCCAATCTGAAGGTTTAGGCACCATTCCCAACTGGGATCTCAAAACATTGGACCCAGCCTTTAGAACAGGGGTGGGGAACCTAAGGCCCTGGCTTGCCTGAATCCGGCCCCCAAGGCTCAGGGCTCTCCCCAGCATGGGGGACCATGCACTGGCACTTCAGTGCCCCCCTCTGGTTCATCATGGGGCTGGAGCACACAAGATTGACTAGCCTGGGCCCTCTTGACTCTGGTGTTTGAGGGGAACATGGGGAGTATCTTTCTCCTTCTCAGTCAGGGGCCACATCAATAAGGACTTGGAGGGTTTTTTGTTTCCCACTTGTGTGCGGCCCCCCCGCCCCAGTGGCTCCCAACTCAAAAAAGTTCCCGCTCCTGCTTTAGAGCTTAGCAAATGCGATGCACAACCACCACTCGTGTTAATAATACCAACCCACCCCACACAGCAGTGTTTACCGAAGTTTTGACAGCAGAGCCCCCGCTTCAAGAAAATAAAACCAATCATATCACAGCAGCTCTGTTGTTAAAGGCGTATGTGTTTTAGTTTACACAACTTCTGTGAACCCTCTCACCTATGGCTAATATTTCATGCACATTCCCCCTCACTTTGAGAAACACTAATATAGTATAATTCATTGTGTGATGGTTCCGCTCCTCTCTTACATGCTTTGATGAGCAGTGAAATAATATTTCAAGTGTGACCACTGTTAGCTATCATCTAAATCCCAATTAGCACCCGTTGAAGTGATTAAGGAAGTTTACTGATACCCATCTCATACTTTGAAAGGTCTCTTTGCACCCATAACAGCTAATGACTTTCAGTTTTCATTCTGAAAACAGACTCAAGAGAACAACTGAGATCTGCCTGTGCCCTCTGGATAGTCTTTTGCAATCACCCTAAAGGAAGGGGAAATAACTTGCTGCATGGGAAACACTATCCCACAAAATCTTAGTATGCTACCTTTATAGACCAAGATTTGGAGACAGTTTTTCTCAAGCTGCCAGAGCTAGCTCTACATCATTGAATCATTTTTAAGAGAACTTATGACAATGAACAGTAACCGAAAACCTCTTGAGCAATAGTTTAAAAAGACCTACTAGCATCTAGAATGAGCAGTGTGGTTAGTTCACCATATCATGCCACTAATAGATACAAATCTCTCTATATGTTAAAAAAAAAAAAAAAACCCTTTTCTTGCAGGACAACAGAATGACATCACATCACTCTGCATCCCGCCTGCCTCCACCATCCCTCCCTCCTTTCCCCAGGGCTCAGCTGTTTTGCAGGGCCTGGGGAGGTGCCGGAGCAGGCCCCCCTCCCCCGGTGCTCGGGGGAGGGGGGCTCCACATAGCCTTTTCCCTCCCCCCTCCTCTGTGCTCGGGGGCAAAGCTACATGCCATGTGGCCCCACAAGCCATGCAGCCTGGGAACCACATGGCCTTTCCCCTCCCCGGTGTTCCACGTGGCCTCGGACCCTCCTGGGGAAGAGAACCTCAACCTGGACCAGATGGCCGGAGCAAGAGGGCCATGCCAGGCCAGCCTCAGCCCAATCTCCAGTAGCTGGAGTGAGAGAGCTGGAGCCAGCTTCGGTCAGGAGCAATCCCGCCCCTGGTGGCTGGGAGTGGGGGGAGGGGAAGGGAAGGAGGAGGGAGCTGGGGCTAGGGTTGGCCTGGCCTCAGGGATGGCCCAGTGGCCTGTGGAAGATAGGGCTGGCTGACTATCCCCAGAGAGGGAGGTGGGCGAGTGTAGCAAGCAGGGGGCCCTAGTAAAGCCTGAAAATATAAACAGATGAAAAGTAAATGCCAGTTTTACAAATCAAATCAGCATGGGAAATGAACTAAATACTGCACGTACCTCTGGTAAAATGAATTGTTCTACAGGTTTATACCATAGTCTGTTAACTTGCACTCCACAGCTAGGTGGGCTAAAACGAGCACTGAAGAGAGCTTCCTGTGTTCAAAATAAAGAAAGGCAAATAAAAATAAGAAACTTACATTCTTAAATCACAAGGGCTGTAAACATGATGCTAACCTACATTTTCTTAAATGGATCACAACAGAAAGGACAAACCTCTTAAAGCAACCCACAGTATGTTCTCTTTCAAACAATGTTACCTATTTTTCATGTAGTAATAGCCCTTAAAACTAACTAGTATTTTGTTTTGCATTCCAGCCCTCCCCCCTCCAAATATAGAGCTGAAAAGGCATACTGAACTGACAATCTTGCAGAAGGAAACAAAACATGAAGTGGTAATGCAACTTTTCCCCTATACCATACTATCCCATTAAAAATCTCATTCCTGAACTACATGGCTCATGTCTGAGAGGATCTCTCAGTCTCCAGGCTTCACCCCTCTGCTGAAATAACCCCATACACCGGGGTGGGGAACCTTTTTTGGGTTAGGAGCCGCTGACCCATAGAAAAATCAGTTGGGGACCACACACAAGTGAGAAGCACTTGAGTGAGAAGCAGAAAGACACTCTTCACGTTCTACTTGCAAAACAGAACCTACGGAGGCCCCGACTAGTCGATCTTGTGTGCTCCAGCCCTACAGCCATGGGGGGAAATCGAGTGCCAGTGTGGGCTCCCCAATGGTGCGTAGAGAGCCCTGAGCCTTGGGGGCCAGATACAGACAAGCTGAGGGCCACAACCGGTCCCCGGGACTTAGGTTTCCCACCTCTGACTTATGCCAATTCTTCTTATGAGAGTTGCTGATTGTCAGGAACTGACCTGAAAGTGGCAACTTACATCACATATATCAATAAACAGTTTTCAAATGATAGCTAGCAAGTGATTGGGCTGTAGGGACTAAGGATGTTAAATATCAATTAATTTACTAGTCAAGTAGTCGATGGAATTTCAATCAACTACTCAACTATTTGATAGGCACTTCCACATTCCTCCTTTGAAATGTACAGAAGTCCCCAGCAGGGGCTCTTGTGCATTACAAAGTGGAAGTGCTCTCAGGGAGCATGGGTCAGCAGGGGATCCTGGGCTCCATGCTGTGCTGCTGCTCTGAAATGCCATTCGGAGCCCCGGGTCTGATCCTGGGCTCCGTGCGGCATTTCCGTTGACCCCGGGCTCCACGAAAACGCCGCGGCAGCAGCAGCGCACAACTGATCCTGGGTCAGCTGTGTGGTGCTGCCCTTTGAAACACCACCTCGGCGTTTCAAAACAGCGCCTCATGGAGCCCGGGGTCAGCTCTGTGATGCACTGCTTTGAAACGCCGCCATGGCATTTCAAAGTAGCAGCACCGCACGGAGCCTGAGTACAGGCTCCATGAGGCGCTGACGCTTTGAAGTACCCCCCTCTTTCCCCTTCCTTTGCTGCCTCTATTTGATAGAGGCAGTGGGGGGAGGGGAGAGGAAATCGACTAGTCCTTAACATCCTTAGTTCGGTCTATTTCCTTCACTTCCTCTACACACCAAACATTGATTAAGTCCCAAAATGTCCAAGTATCTAATTGAGGCATCTGGCTAGCTTCTTTCTTTCCTCCTTTCTCCCCCTACCCCTTTCCTCTTTTTCACATCCCTAACCCACAGAAACTAGCATATCCTTTGAATTTTTTGCTACAACAGCTTTATGCAAGAATTTTATAGATTCCCCCCCGCCGCTTTTTTTTGCATTACATGTAAAACTAAGTCTCTGAGGGGTAGCCAAGTTAGTCTGTATCTTTTAGTCTCTAAGGTACCACAGGACTCCTAGTTGTTTTTATAGAAAACTAAGTTGCAGCAAAAAGACTACAGTATATTCTCTTCGCTCAGAGATCTGCTTCATCTCTATCACTACAGAGTTAGCTTTCCACTGCCAAATAAACTGGAGTCCCACAGAGCTCACATCACTGATTTTATGGTGAATCAAGTTCAGGACTGGTGAAAGCTATCCATCATATGATTAGGTTGCCAGAAGAAGTTGCTCTCCTAACAGCACCTTTCCATATTCACTTTGATAGGGAAGGACTGTTAACTCACTTCTCACACTTTCACCAAAATGGCATATTACACAGTGTCCTAGAAAGTCTATTTAATGTTGAATAGTTTGTCATTATAAGCATGATTCTGATGTGCATCTACCTCTCATTTAGCTAAACAAAATCAATTCAGATGAAATGCATACTGGGGCCCTTTGCGAGAGTAGAATTTTTATGGGGAAAATCTGCAGGTGGTTGTTGAACATGGTGATAGAACTGACAAATTTTAAAAAAATCTGTGATTTTCTATGTGGGATGTATTGTTCTGACTTCTCCCCCTGCCCATAACTTGGGAATGGCATGCCCAAGAAATTTTGCTTGCTGTGCTGATTGCACAAAGTGTTATAGATAAGGCTGAGATTTTGTCATAGATATTTTTAGTACTAGTTATGGACAGGACAAGGGCAATAACGAATATCCATGAGGAGTTGCTGGGCAGCTGCGGGCGTTAGCTGGGAGCATCTGTGTACCTTTCCCCTGGGCCTGGGAGCTGCAAAGTTGCCCCCACCTATAGTGACTGAGAGCCCCAAGAGCCCATGGCTGTGAGATTCCTTGCAGATTCCAGCCATTGTGGGCAGCAGCAGGGCTCTGCAGCTCCGAGATGCCTGCAGACTGAAATCATGCAGGTCTTTGGAAATCAGATTCTGTGACTTACACAACCTGCATGACAAAATCGTGGCCTCAGTTATAGGATGCATTTGATCTGAACCTATGAGAAATCCACAAAGTTTATAAAACCGACATGCCATCAGACCTGGAGTTTAGGAAGTCTTTATACTTTTGGATTATACCAGCATCATTAGAATCCACTGTGAAGAAAAAGGTAATCTTTAAGAGAAGACATGGCAATAGCCTGTGCAGTGATAAGATGGCAGATATGGAAGGGGGAAAAAAGGAGGCCAAAAGAAGTATTGCAACAACTACATATTTGGCCTGCGATGAGCTATGTAACTAGCTACGAAAATATGAAGGAGAAAAGACCAGCTGGAAACTCATTAAGGCAAGAGAAGAAAATGGTGAAAGATGTGAACAAGTTTGCTTATATTAGAAATGAGAATGGTATTTGCATACAAATTGATGAACCAATCAACAACGTCTGGAGTGATTTTTTTGGGGGGGGGGAGATGAATAAAGAGAACTTGAGAGAAACTTACAACATTTAAGCTGAACCAGTGGGGACAGACAGTTACAATAGGAAGAGGTTATAAAGGCATTCAGAAAATTAGAAAGGAAAAAGCACTTGGGCTTGATAAAGTACCAATGGATGTGCTTAAGTCTTTAGGCAGAGAAGGCGTCATGTATTTTACAAGTCTGTTCAATGGTATTCGTAAGAAAATGTCAGATGAATGATGTAAATGCTTTGCAATGCTCATTTTTAAACAGAAAGGAGACATTACAGTGTATGCTCATTATCATCCAATTAAAGTGATGTACATGCTCTGAAAGTACAGGAGATTACCACGTAAAAGTAACTGCCTTGAACAGTTGAAATTTGGAAGGGCGAGTATGGATTTATACCAAGAAGGATCATCAATGATGCCATATTTTTGCAGTATGAGTCTTCCTGGAGAAGTCTAGAGACAAGAGATAGCCTTGGGTATAGTCTTTGTGGACTTGGAGTTCACTCACGTGCCAAAAGAATTAGTTTGGTGGAGTGTGAGATGTGCCAGAGGATGTATCCATTTTCTTCAGGATATGTATGATAGAGCGACTACTGCAGTCAAAGCAAATTGAACTACATACTAGAGAATTTTCAGTCAACGTGGCCCGTAAATGGGGTCAGCACTGAGCCTTTTTTTTGTTTGTTTGTGGCTCCAAGGGTGCGACATGTAATAACATACAAAGGGGAGCTGCCTCAGAATATGCTGTTCATGGATGACGGACACATGCAGAAGATTGTGATACCCTGAAAACAAAGGGTAGTAACATAGGAGCAGGCAGGACATAGAACACTGGTAAGGACTAAGGAATTGACCACTGAGGGAGTAGGACCAACCATAAAGGGTATTACGGGCAGAGGTCTTAGAAGAGTGAAAGAATTTAAATACCTAGAATCAATGAATGTTGCTGACAGTGGTACCCTCCTGAGCGATGCCCAGCATTGTACTAAAGCTGCTTGGTGCACATGGCAGGAGCTGACCCCGATTCTGTGTGATAAAAAGATACCAATAAAGTTAAAATGGCAGACTGTATAAAACTGTAATCTGACCTCTCCTACTCCACCAGAGACCTGACCAGCCACAAGAAATCAATTTGCTAGGGAAATGAAGATGATGAGATGGTCAAATGGTTGGCGATTCCATGGTAGGAAACAAAATAAAGTTGAGAGTCCAATGTTTGTTCCCATCTGAAGACAAGGTGAAAGAGGCCAGGCTAGCCTGGTGTCAGTTATATTGGTAAGATGTCCTTTGAAATGACCATGGATGGAAGACAACAAAAGAGGAGGCCAAAGACTTAGTACAAGGACCAGCTATCAGAGGACCTTAGAGAGACCAATTTACATGACAGACAGGGTTTTGGAAGAAGGCTATAAAAGATGTCATCCCAGAATAGGGAAGTGGAAATAAGGAAAATGACAATGACTACAGGTGACCTAAAGTCTGGAGTCCATAACAGAGCTGGAAAACTATATGGAGTAATTATACTCATTATGTGTTAAACTATAACCATGCATGACAATACTTAGCTGTATAGATAGAGAGTGGATGAGACTACAAAACAAGAATTACTAGCTTTACTGTATTTTCTTGCTTTCAAACATTCAAAAGGTGGTGATTTTTGTTTGCATATACACAAGTCTTAAGTCACTGATAAACTTTCCTAACCTTAATTTCAACTAAAGCAGTTTTATCTTGGAATTAAAAAGAACATTTCATCGAGAAGCATTTCTGTTAAAACACATTACTAATCTGAAAAATAGTTACATTTATACAGAAAAAATATTTTAACATTTAATGTTTGTAAATCCCCTTTTTTAACATTCTCTAGTGAAAAATAAGATTTATAGTTATTCAGCTGACAGTTTTTAAAGATTGCAGTGGGAAAGAAAATTCTCTCTTATTAATGTAGGTAGGTGAAATCATTAATTTACTAGGTCATTAACACATACATCTGCGTGTCTCCAATTCACAATAGAAAGAAAAAATGTGCATTGGTAAGATAGCTGTAATACTGTACCTCCTGTTCTGCCTGGTACAGTTTTACAGTGATATTCCTCTGGAATCCCACATCATCAGCATCATAGAATACACCAAGACTGGTAATGACGATAGGGTAAAGAACTCGAAAATTCACACTGACAATGCGGTCTTCAGAAAGCACTGAAGGTGTATCCTCAGGGAGATTGAATGCTTCAATCTCTTGATTCAAAACTGTATTAAAAAAAAGAATGAGGATTATACCAGTCATGTGAGCAGATTTATCATTCTGGAATTGGGTACAGTAATTCCTCATTTAACACTATAGATGTGTTTCAGAAAATGATCGTGTTAAGTGAAAACATGTTATGGGGGGGGGGGGGTCAATTTTCCCACTGAAAATAATGGAAAAGGTGGGGGTTGCGTTTCAAGCGGTGGTGTCTGTTGGGATCAGGACATAAGGTTGGGGGAGAAAGGGGACTGTGTTACATCAGGTAGGGGAGGTGTTTGGCTCTGGGGAAGGGAAGGGAAGGAAAGGGGAGGGGGATTGAGTTGGGAGTATGCCCCTATGATGGGTCTGTGAGAAGCCCTCCACCACTTTGCAGGGAGGCAGGGGAAGCCCTGCTCAGCCGCCAGCAATGGGCCGGCTGGAGAAATCGTGTTATTCCGGGGATGGTCATGTAATTCAAAAAACGTTCCCTAAAAAAAAAAATCATGCTATCGTGAAAACGTGTTAAGCGGGCACGTGTTAAATGAGGAATTATTGTATAAATGGGAATGTCTGATGAATAATTAGCATAGCTGATCAAGTGCACAAAGGTAATCAAATTACAGAAAAAAGATGACTGCACATCACTGTAAGGAGAAGCTTAGAATTGTTTAGTAGCCTGTTGGTTACCAGTCTATGTAAGTCAGTGCCTGAGCATGCAAAGGGAACTGAATGGAAGCACACACTCATATATAACACCTTATTCTACTAATGAGGACAGCTGTTTTATTCAGTCTCCTTCAGAAATGTGATTTATCTTTGGGAGGCTGAATGGCAAGGACTGTTGCTTAATTGGAACCAAATTAGCAGACTTTGCATTTAAGGTGACTCATTCCTAAGTGCCAAGTATTTTTCTACCAGGAGTTGGGATCACAGTATTGAAATTTTAACATAATAGTTGCAAATATTCAAAAGAGGAAAAATGGAAGGCAGGAAATATAATTTTACTTATGTATTTATTCATGGTGATGTTTCAAGTATTTTCTGACACATATTAAACAATTGCCTTTTCTCCTACGGACAAATTCTGGAAACACTATCAGATATAGTACTCATTTCTACTGAAGTGAACTCACATGGTCTTGTGGCCAAGATGCAGGACCTGGATGATCTGGGTTCAGTACTCAGCTCTAACACAACACACACTTGTGCAACCTTGAACAAGTCACTTAATGCTCTCGGACTCAGTTCCATGTCTGTAAGACAGGAACAATAGTCCCTACATGACAGAAATGTTGAGAAGGTAAATTAATTGGGGGAGATTTTCAGAGGCACAAAAGGTATCCAACACTCATGAAAGTCAATGGTCTGTGCTATGTACTTGGAAAATCTCCCCCATAAGTGTCTGTATATGGTGCTCATAGGTGGGCTATATAAGTGTCTCCATAGAGAGTACGTGCTATGTCCAATAGTATTTGCAGGATCGGGCCCTTACTTAGAATAGTCACTAAACTATCAGTGTGTTGCATCACAGAGGGTTCTGTTTAATATAATATAGCAGTGTAGAAGATTCATCATTCATACCTGGGTTAGTAATGTTCAGAAGTTTGCAGGAGTAAGGATCTTCTCTGTCCTCCACCGGCACAGTACAGCCATGAGCACCTATTATAAACTTCACAAGGACACTAAAATAATTTGTTTTTATTAACCCCAGTAATTTATTTACATCTCAATACAAAGATCTCTCCTATAGTCTAAACTTTCTGATCCCATTAAAACATAAAATTGTATTTAAACAATTGCATTTAGATATTCTTGACAATCTATTTATTTTTAGTGCATTAGCTGTACAAATCTCCAATGAAACACTGTATCAATACACACAAACAGCCAGGTGCTATTATTTGAAGAGGATTAGTAGTTCAATTTAAAAAAATAGTTAACTAAGAAGCTAGTCACATCAGGCAGAATGAGGAATTGCCTATTATCAGTTGTTTTATTGCTCATTTTATTAAATAACAGGATATATCTGCAAGTTCTGTAACTATTAAAACATCCATCTCATTTTAGATATTCCAATCGTGAGGAACAAGCAATTCAATATAGAAAATAGAAACCTACTTCAATGCAATTTTAAGGTTTAGAGTTCAATTCCAAAACGGAAGGGAAATTCAAAATTATAGCTCCCTTGGCAAGCATGATCCTCTCTTGCTGTGCTCAAGTATTCTCTGCTAAACAGCTTGCTACACTGAGTGGTCATGTAACGTACACATTTTTGTAACGAAGCATAAGGTAAGCTTACAGTGGAAAACATGACAGCACTTCCCGATTTTGATGTGATTAAAACTCTGACCCTTGATGTTGCATTAGCACTGAAAGTTGCTAATTTCTTCCTTTGACTCACAGTAAAACACCCAAACACTGCATGAAACCTTAGTAAGGGCTCAATCTTGCAAGGAACCAAAGGCCATTTGTTCCGAGAGATACATAACTTCAGGGCCTATGACTTAAAGCCCCTAGAATCATAGAACTGGAAAAGACCTCAGGAGGTCTTTGAGTCCAACCCTCTGCTAAAATCAGGACTAACCCCAACTAAATCATCCCAGCCAGGGCTTTGTCAAGCTGGAACTTAAAAACCTCTAGGGATGGAGATTCCACTACCTAGGTAACCCATTCCAGTGCTTCACCACCCACCTAGTGAAAGAGTATTTCCTAATATCCAACCTAATCTATGTCTGTAAGTGAATGATCACAACAAACATGGGAAATGTGGTTATTTGGCTGTATACAAACAACTTCAAAAACAGGGATTTCAATAAACAGCCTTTTAATGAACAGAGATTAGTACTTTGATATAGCTTTACACCCTCAACCAAAATAGCTTTGTTGCACATGCTCAGCAATAAATCCTTACTATTGTTTTATCATGCTACCACATTTCTCCTGACATCGAAAAAGAACTAAGTTGACATGGATGCTAATTACTACAACTTAAAAAGAAATCCACTTATGTCATCCAATTACACCGAACAACACTGTGAGCATTTCTTAATGGATGAAAAACCACTTTTGCACACCTTCAAGTAACAAATTTTAATTGCATTCAAAATATCGATTTCAACCCAGACTGCATATGACTTTTATAAAATTTTAAGGAATTAAGAAAGTGTCCTGTCAGCCATAATAAAAAGTGTTTGCAAGCATGAGGCCATATGGGATTTTTTTTTTCAAAATAAAGGTTAAGAAACAAACAACGTTTACTCATTTTGCTTCTAGTTTCTCACTCAGCCCAAATACGATACAAAATGTTGGTAGTTTACCGAGGGCCCAGTGCTGGATGTTGTTTCAAGTGCTTCAACCAAGTGTTCCTTATAACGTTCCGCAGCTCATGATTGTGTCGAGCTGATAATACACCAACAATAACATCGTAATGTTTCAGTTCCCACTGAGGAAAGAAAGCCAGGGGACCTAGGAGTTTAAAACAACAATTTACTATAGAAATATAATCCCACATGTCTGAGCTGTAAACTAATTAAAAACACATCAAAAGTAAGTGTATTTAGTGTCCTCAGCATTAAAAAACAAAAACAACATTTGTGTTATGTTGTCAAAACCCTGGAAGATGCTCTCAACATGCAGCAACTACCATAACACAACTGTGAAATTATTACTGGAGAGAATTGAGAAAATGACTGCTGGTAAACTAAAGTAACAAAGTGCATGACACCTTCAAAGCAAACAAAAGAAAACCCCTTGTTGGCTGAATGATGAGAGCGCCAATTATGTGAGAGCCTGGCTGCATTCTGAGCAAGCTGCTCCATGAAAGCACATCACAGCTGTTCTCATTTTGTATTGGCTACCAAAAACCTTTTGGGTGAAATTTAAGGTGCTGCTTACAATCTGCAAAATCCTAAATAGCCTGGCCTCAGCTAACCTCATGAGCAGCCTTTTCTTCTCTGACCTACCACAAAACCTGGCGTCTGACCATTCTTGGCATTGGGCTTTCACCACTACACTATTCTACCAACAGATATCCACTTAACCTGAGCGTGATCACACTCAGAGTGTTAAGAAGCATGTCTTTGGGCATTCTGGCCTAATTTCCATTGCCATTTAGTTTATTGGCAGGGCCTTCCCTAGTCTCTTGTAAAGTTGTGAGAGTGGGGAAAAGTGTTGGGGGCATTATCTTCCAATAGATGGTAAATGTTTTGCCTTAATCAGCTGTGGACGTGAGTTGTCCCAAGAGATATGAGCAATGGGTTTCATTATAAATGCTAATAATAAATAACATTTAGTTCTTGCTAAGCATTGTTTTTAAAATATAGAGATTACAAAAATCATACTTCCTTTACTGTGAGAGTTTAACTAGAGAAAAACCTGAAAAGTACTGCTCAGAACCCAACACCAATCAGGGACATCTTTAATGTGGATCTGCACTGTTTGGCTTATTCAGCCATTCTAACGCTGAATGAGACAGGTTTATATTTAGCTGGAATGAGGGATCACTTTCATCTCACTCTCCTTAATCCCAGACCTAAACCAAACAATTTAAATAAAAAGAACTCTGGGACTCAATGGGTTTAACACAACTACTGCAAACATTAAAGACAAGGTCTAGCACAAAAGATCTAAATTTCAGCGCAACTAAAAATATCTGCCAGTTACCCATTATAACCAGAGTATGCAATGTTATCTTCCAGATTTCTAGCCATTACACCACTGCCCTTATTAAAAAAAAGGGATGGAAATGTGTGCCATGACAACTGAACACATGGTACCTGGGAATTAAGTGGAAGAGAAGTAAAATAAAATTTCTGAAAATCATACAGCGTGCTCACTCTATCTTTGTAGAATTTTACAGTAAGGGACACAATATTAGCTTTTGAAGTACTTCCGTAAGTTGTTTAACATGGATGTTTCCAGCACACTTTCAATCTTCACATGCCATTGATAGAAAGTTGTTAGTTTAATTGAAAGAATGTACATAACCTAGGAACTTAATCAGAAGGGTTAAAAAAATCCCTGAAAATATTTTCTTTCTACATAGACTAGCATTTCTCTGTCTCCTCGGGAGCCTGCATGTTTTCCACTAATGCTTATTGTTATGGATCTTATCCACCATATATCTGAGAAAGTTTGTCTGTGAGTGAGCTAGCAAATCCATCCATCCATCCATCCATCCATCCATCCGTTTAAGAACTCCTTCTAAAAGGTCAGAGCTAGGACCACCAAATTTGGTATGCAGCTTCCTCTTATCATAATGTAAGGCAAGGTCAGGGTTTGGTTGTGCCAGGATAATGGGATATGCTTGGAATGTGATTGTTTTTCATAATATGGAAATGTAGGGGGCTGCTAGCAGGGACAGTTATTGTGTAATGACCACAGGGAGGCAGCAAGGGACCAGATATGGGGTCTGTGACAGCTATAACCCCACGGGGGTGGGGGTGGAGATAAGCGTCTCGCCCCCTCTCCTCCAACCAGCATGGCCCCTTGCAATATCAGAAGTAGCTCCCATTTCCTCTTGCAATTCCTACTCTTCCCCCTTTTTCTCATATATCTTCTCTTAGCTGGTTCTGCTCCATTTATTTCCTTATGCCTTATATAGCCTTGGCAGTCTTACACACATGCCATTCAGTGCATGGCAGTAATACTATCTCATGGGCAGCTGGACACCATGTACCACAGACTGGACCCAAGGCCTTATTTATGCACACACTTGCACTGTTTTAACTAATGATGCATTCTTGAACTAGTTTAGTTAAATCACTGGAAAAGAAAATGTAGACTCTAAAGAGGCAAATATTAACTTAGCTTAATTTATTTCTCCCAATTTAAGATAACCAAACTGGCTATTTAATCCAAAATAATAGCATCTACTATTGTTCCCTGTAAGCTATGCACTTATGTGGCCACTTGGAAGAGGCTCAAATGCTGCCCAGCTGTTTAGCAAAGTGCCCATAGTTAGGTTTTTAGTTTCAATTGGTGGTGCACATTTGCCTATGCCTTAGTGCACTAAAATTTATTCTGCACATGGATGGATAAAATCTGCACATGGATGAAACGAAGTAAACTGAAAGATTTCCATGGTTACACAGTTACATGCACTCACAGTGGGGGGTGGCATCCAGCTATCTGGGAGCTGGTGTGTGCTGGGAGCCAGCTTTTAAGACAGCTCCCTGCTCATACCAGCACCAGCCTGCCATCCCCAGCATGCCGGTCACCACCATCAGGAAGGTGTAACCATTTGGGTAACTGATAAGCATCTTATTGGCTACCCATTTAAAGAGCTACACTTTTACCTCCCTAGTGTCTACACAGGATTTTGCACCAATTAAATTAGTTTTAAAACTGCTGAAACTCTTTGATGTGGATACAATTTCTTAAAAAGCACTTCATAGAGGAAATTTATGTTCGAGAAAAGTACAGCTACATCACATCTGCCAAACCCTCATTTTATAATTACATTTCCAGACTTATTTCTCCTTTTTTCCAAAATGCATCTGACTTATCCAGACACCAAGCAACATGAACAACTGTTAACACACTATACAGCTCAATTTCTAGAGGAAACCTCCATTCAAAGAGCAAAATAATCACAGTGCAAATACCCTTACCACAGTGGAGTAACATTAGGGTGAACTTGGGTCAGTATGTTCTGACTGATCACTTTTACATTGCCTTTGACCCATGCTGCTGGCTAATTATGAGACTGCTGTGATGACAAAAGTTACTTAAATGCCAGCACACACACCAGTAATACAAGTTTATACCTCAGCTACCACAAAATACTTTTGAAACCAATTCAATTTTTGTTCATTCCAAGTAATCCAGGTGGTAAGTCATAAGGAGCAGCAGGCACAGGAAATAAAAATAAATACTCAACAATAAAATGCAACAAGGGTCATTTTATCATACAGTACCGTATCATTTTATTAATTCACGTTTCAAAAGCTATTTCCAACTTTGTACATCCTCACTTCATTAATGTTCACAAAGCACTTTGAAGAACAAAAATCACAGAACAATAGATTCAGCGGTGTAGCTGTGTTAGCCTGTAACTGAAAAAAACAGCAAATAGTCCTGCAGCAGTTAGAGACTAACTAAACATGTAGATGGTTTCCTGAGCTTTTGTGGGCACAACCCACTTCTTCTTCTGAAGAGTGTTTTGCACACGAAAGCTCATAACATCATCTACATGTTGTGTTAGTATTTCAAGTGCTACTAGACTATTTGGTTTTTTTTTAAGTTTTTCCTGTTACAGACTAATTCGGCTACCCCTCTGAAGCTTTTCTACATTTTTTGTTAGTCTCTAACGTGCTGCAGGACAATTTGCTGTTTTTAAAGTTTTTTCAGAACAACAGATATCAGAGATGAAAGAGGTCTCTTAGCTCATATTTTTTTCCTCTCTGCCAATGCAGGAATGTTTCCTACTGTGTGTTTCTAGATGCTTTCATGAGCTACTAAATATATATAATCCTTTCACTTACTGTGCAAGAGTGCTCTAAAATGCTGGAGTTTTCACTTTCCCCAGGAAACTATTCCATACCATCAAATATTTCATTTTTACACTTAACATGAGGGAAAATTTCCTATGTTTCTCTTTGCTCAGGTTCATTGATTTATTCTATAGGTTAAACAAGTTCTGCAAAATCGAATACATCCGGGAAAAATATTGTGCATTTACTTGACTACTAAAGGGCTGATCCTGCTGTCTGACACAGCACAAGTAGTCTTATGGGCTACTCGCTATGGTGAGCATAAAGGATAGTAACAGGAGCATTTGCAGGACTGATCGCTCCAAAACAGCAATACATTAATACCCAAATCATCAACAGTTTGACACTTAGGGGCAAATATTAGTCCTACTGAAATGAATGGAAGCTTTGCTGTTGCCTTGAAAGGAACTAGAGTTTGTCGTGGTAAGAGTAATTGATGTCTGGAAATGGAAATCCACAGCATGGAAATAAAATACTGTCTTCATATACAAATACTATATCATTTACCCTAATACTGCATTTGTGAAACTGTGAATCTGTCTTTCCTGGGTAGAGTTTGACCTCCCCCCCCCCTCCAGGGATACAAGTCAGCACCAGAAATGAGGTGTGGGAGAAGATAGAAAGGAATCTCTCTTTCTTGCTGGATCACTTCCCCAGGGAAGTCATCAAATCTGAAATTATCTAATAAGAGCTAAATATGAATGATTAGTTTTACTACAACTTGTGAAAAAGTAGAGCAGTGAAAGTATAAATGGCTCAGTAACAGGATATGGAACTATAAACAGCCTATACTTATTCTCATGTGTAAATATTTTTCATCAACCCCTAAAGAACATTTATCTTTCTCTACAAGGACATTTCTCCACCTAGATAGATCATCTTCTGAAAACATTTACATCTGAAAGCTATGCTGAAAAGTGACTGTAAAAAAGGCCTCATGGGGTTACATGTTTCCTTCCTCTCCACAATTCC